CATGAGCCGCCCAGGCGCCCTTACTGCCAATGTCCAGTCAAACCTCAGTCTCATTCTTCCCGCTTCTTTGGTACAAACACCTCCCCCACGTGAGGGGCCTCCAAGACTCCTTTTAGTGGGGGGGAGCGGGGTGGCCAAGTGAGAGGGTACAGGGGAAGACCCTTGTCCAGTTCATTTTCCTGTTAAGGCCCAGTGAGCACAAGCCACTCTGTGGATCCATTTCAACGGCTCCTTTTTTACCCACCTCCCAGTTTCCTAGCTCACAAACGCCCAGGCTCTGGTTCTGGATTTATTTCTTGGATCTCTGACTCCTGACCTGACTCATCTTGGGTTTTACACCATACACCATACTTTTTTTTTTTAACGCCGGGCTTGGGAAACACCCTATCCCACCAGCCACAGGAACACCTACCAGTAACCACAGCCCTCTGGGTCCGGCACCGAGCCCCTGGGGCGTGGCCGAGGGACGATGGTGGGCCAATCACCGGGACAGGACCTGTGGCTAGCCAACAGGTGTCAGGTGCCTTCCACGTGCTAGTCACTGGTCTAAGCAATTAACACTTACCAATTTGTTCATTAATTTAAGGTCAGAACAACCCAATTAAGTTGTTTAAAACCTGTATCTTTGGGGCGCCTGGGTGGCTCAGTCGGTTAAGCGTCTGACTCTCAATTTCAGCTCAGGTCATGATCTCAGAGTTGTGAGATGTTGCCCCGTGTTGGGCTCTGCACCCAGCGTGGAGCCTGCTTGAGATTCTCCCTCTCCCTCTGCCCCTGCCCCGACTCACAAGTGCTCTCTCTCTCTCTCAACATAAATAAATACAATCTTTAAAACCTGTATCCTCACAATTCAGAAAACAATAGGACAGAATCATAAAGGAGTGCTCTGAACAGCTGCTGACCCCTGCATGACTAAGTGGTAATACTAAATTGGAAAGCTACAAAAATAGGCCAAGTCAAATGAAAATAAAGGGCTTCTATTATGCGCACTCACTTGGAATGGCGAGGAGAATTTTTACATTTAACCGCTTTCTGGACAAAACAGTTTTAGAACTCAGAAGAAAGGACAAAAAGCTACTGGTCTCAGCTCTTAAAGATGAACAGGAACTGGTGGCAGAAGTAGCAATGGATGAATACCAAAATCTAGAAATTTCAGCGCAAATTCCCCATTCTTGCTGAAAAGGGGAAGCCTAAATAATCTGTCACATAAGTTTCTCAATTTTAAACATTCACAACAAATTGGTAACACTGAGAAAAACTGGAAATGAGACATTTAAAATAACAATACTATAACCTTGTCTAGCAAGGTGTTCCAAAGGCCCTGACAGGTACTGTTGATTTGCTCTTCATCTCAACCCAGATGAGCTCCATTGCACAGAGCAGTAAATGATGGAGACAGAGCTCACATAACCCGCCCAGTTGTGGGTCTGCCCAGCCTGAACTCCCTCCATTTACTAACCCAGGGCCTCATCCTATTGCACCCCTCTGCCCCCAGGCTAAGGAGCTACTGGAAACCAGCGAGTGAGGGTGGAGTCATAGGATGAAAATATTATTTTTAATTCCACAAGGAAGTAAAATAAACACAATTTTAATTAGAGAAAATATGCCTAAGGAACTAAAGGTTTCTGAGAGCCCAGTGAACAATGAAACGTTCAAGATTGCAGAAAAACTCCCCCAGATAAAAAATTATTTGTTTTATCGGTTGATCAATTTTAAATAGGATTCATGCCCAACATGGGGCTTGAACTCACGACTCTGAGATCAAGAGTCACATGCCCTACTGACTGAGCCAGCCAGGCACCTCTCCAGATAAAATTTTATGCCATTGGGAAAAAAACTTTAGAAACTGGATTAGTGAGCAGACAATGGTAGAAAAATTTCAGAATAAGCAGCACTTTTAATATTAGGGGACTGATGTGTTACAGACTAAAAACTATTGCAGAATACATCCTAAAGAAATTTTCCTAATTCATTGCTGGCCATCATCAAAGACAATACCGTGTAACCAGAAGAGAACTGAACTGAAGTTAAAAAAAAAATAGAAAAGAGGATGACAAAAACAAGCAAGGAATGGCTCAAGCAGATCTGAAATGGCCCCCTTGGCCGTCTTTTCCCACTCCACTTATATGTCCCTTTGCCCTTCTACTCTCCATACAGAAATCTTCCCACCAGGCACCAAGTCCTCCTCCTTCCTCGAAGAAAAGAAAAACCTAGGCTAAGAGTCTTGCTGGGGGTCTTAGCCAGATAACTCTACATTAAAATCCTTGAGAGTTCAAAAGGAACCACCATTCAGTGTGAGTTCTAAAGAATGATAAACCTTGATGTTTGCCTTTTCCTTTTTACAAAGAAATCTGGTTGGCTGGTAAAATCTGAAGGCAATTTCAAAGAGAATCTGTTAGGAGTCCTCTATTCTCCTCTCAGAGGATTTCAGGTGGAAACCTCAAAGCAGCAGAGTGTATCACAGGCCTATGGAAGAGAGTACAAATCATGAGCATACAACTCGAGGGAGGGTCACAGAGCAATATGGTGGATCAAAGCATGGAACACCACCAGTGCCTGAAAGCCTCATAGCATCCTCTCCCACAGGGAACCACCATCTTCCTCCACGATCCACCTATCCTCTGGCAGGCTGCAGATGGGCAGGGCACTCAGTCCCATGGAGCTGACTCCAGGCTGGTCTACAGATTGGGTCCGCTCCTAGGTCTGACCTTCCAGAAGTTGTAACAGAGACTCTGAGGTGTTTCCTAGGGAGCTTCCTCTTTGGTGGGCCCTGAATTCCAGTTTTTGTCTCCCCAACGATGTGAGACTACCAAAATCCCTACTCTTCTGTTACTTTTCGCTCGTTACCCTCTTGACCAGCACAGTTTAGCAGCGAATGCCTCAAGAGAAAAACCAGGGCTAACCTCAGGCTCACCTCTGTGATTTCTTTGCCTCTGGGATGTTGGCCCTCCTGTTCTGCCTGCCTTTGTAGTCCTCCAACTCGGATCTCTATCTCTTCAGTCCCAAGAGATTGCCTAAAGTTCTGCAGGCTTCTCTGCCTCTCAGACCTCTCAGTTTTTGTTTAGGCCCTGGTAAGGAAAGCAGGTCTGACATGATGAGGTACGAGGTGCTCTGCTAAGTCAAAGACGCTAATCACAAAGGACCACTTATCAAATGATTTCACTTATATGAAATCTGCAGAATGGCACAAGAATTGAGACAGGAAGCAGAATAGAGATGGGGAATTAAGACAAGAGGTGTGGAGTTTCTTCTGAGGGTTATGAAAATATTCTAGAACTGACTGTGGTGACTGTTGCAGAATTCTATAAAATACACTAAAGCTCTTTAAATGAGTGACTTGTATGGTATATGAATGATACCTCAATAAAACCATTTTTTAAAAAAGAAAAAAGGGACATTTAAGTCAATGCAGAACATCTAGGAAGCAATTTGGCAATAAACAACAACTTTTACATGTGTGTATATGTATAATATTTATACATTTATATATTTATTTTTAACTTATTTACATTTATATATATGTATATGTGTATATATATACATATATATATGTTTTATAGCTTGAGAAAGTTCCAGACTCAAGAGGAATTGAGGAATGCTCAGGGCCTAGTAACTGAGAGAGAAAAGTCTCAAACAGGATGAGCCTGTAAAAGACTTCAAGTTAAAGAATTAAAGTTCCCAAAGTTCATGAATTAGTTTTATCAGAATCACCTAGGAAGCTAGGCAAAAAGACAAATTCCAGAGCCTTACCCATGAGAATTTTTTTTAGTAAGCTCTACACTCAATGTGGGGCTTGAACTCATGGCCGTGAGATCAAGGGTCGAATGTTCTAAGGACTGAGCCAGCCAGGAACCCCCCCTGAGAATTCTGATTCAGTCAATTGCAGAGGCAGGGGGGAAGAGCCAGCATTTTGCTTTTAAGTGTCCCCAGGCAGTGCTCCCCTCCAAAGCACAGGTATTTAATTGGAACCATACAGACAAGATGGGCATGCCCCGCACAAGGATGAAAGGCAACTTCATGAAGCGTTCCTTATCTTTAAAAAAATAATAAATAAGTATCCCCATGATTCTGATGTCAGCCAGATCTGGCTAACTCTTGGACAACAAGGGAAGAAAAATCTTTTATCATGGCAGTAACACTTTTTGGAAAATCATTCTAGAAGTAATGTGAGAGACTGATTATAATGAGGCCAAGACCTGCCTTTAATAAGCAAGGATCGGTGCTCTGAATTCCTACTGGGACTTAGTGATATTGATAGACATTTATACACAAACTTTCAGTGCTCAAAATCATCGCCTTAAAAAAGAAAAAAAAAAGACTTTATTACCAAACAAAAACTTAGGAATAATCCTGACACCTTTGCTCAAAATACACAACTTACCAACCTCCCTAATATGTTTGTGGTATTTATGTCAAAATTCTGAAAAGGCTGAGGTGATTGCTAATTTAGGTGGTCTTCCTTGCCAACCACATCAGTCTCATGAGTATTTGATTCTCCAGCTTCCCTCCCCACAGGCTAACAAGCAAATCTGTTCCATCCACTTATGAGGAATATCTGAAATAAACTTTGCATGTAAATATGGATTTATGAGGAACATCTGAAGACTGAAAGATTGATACAAATGACTCATCAAGTAACATTGAGCGCCCCTGTGTTTCAACTCTGAATAATGGATTTACATAACTGTAAGCACATTATCCTAGCTCCCTTTTTGAACGGTGGCCTTGTTTCACAAGACAACTAGCAGGGGTATAAATACTAGCTGTAGCCCTTGGCACACCTGGACACAGAAAGCTATCTGGCCCAAATATCTCAAGCTCTTTTGTTGAATTAGCAATTGCAGTAACTAAGAAGGAGACTGGTAGGTGGGTGTTCTAGAGCCCTTAAAAGCCTTTCTTACAGATAGTTCTCAGTGGTAACTGTGACTCAACAACCACAATTCCAAGTTGTTAGGACAAAATACTGGATAATGTAAAGAGGCATACTCTTAAGTACTAAGCTGTTTCTTTAAATTCAAGTGCTTTAATGTTTTAAGTGAAAAAAAAATACTAAAATTGGTTACAGGATGGGGCGCCCGGGTGGCTCAGTCGTTAAGCGTCTGCCTTCGGCTCAGGTCATGATCCCAGGGTCCTGGGATGGAGCCCTGCATCGGGCTCCCTGCTCTGCGGGAAGCCTGCTTCGCCCTCTCCCACTCCCCCTGCTTGTGCTCCCTCTCTGGCTGTGTCTCTGTCAAATAAATAAATAAAATCTTTAAAACAAAACTGGTTACAGGAAATTATTGTAGAACCCAGCTTTTCCTTATTTAACACTATGTGTTTAATACAAGAGAAAACAGCGTAACTACCTGTTCAAGATACTTCAACTCCTGAAACATTACGCAGCCTTTTGTTCGAATAGGCTGAGCTGACCCCAAGACTAAAAAGCAAATTGATACTAGTTTGAAGTAATTCCTTTTATATCCAATTTACTTCCTCCGAGAACAGGTTAATGAGGGTCTCACCTGCTGCTCATTTTCAAGTTCTCATTCCTCCACCTCAAGTCCCCTGTTTGCAAATTTAAATATAAAACACAGAATGGTCAAAGACAAGTGTTTGATTAACAAGATGGTAAGCCCAGACAGATGACATAATGAGGCAGTTATTGCCTTCATAAAAATTCTATCTTACTGGCATATAATTAAGACTTATAATCTAAATTCAACCTTCAAATTTCATCCTCCTCCATCCTAATAAAACTAACTATAGGAGGCCAGATCCACTGGTCTAGTATTCAGAATTGTCTTCTACAAGCCAGGACATTTCTTAAAGTACAGAGCAATGTAAAAATATTGAATGTGAAGGCAAATAAAAAGTTCTTTATCTTAACAACTGAAATAACATCACCTGTCTTGGCTAACTCACAGGCTCACTGTTTAGAGGGGGATGTTTGTTATAATAGAGTATAATAGCATAAAAATTTAAAAAAATATACAGTGATAATGTCAATTGCTGGCAAAAAAAAAGAGTATAATAGCATAGAGTGTATTACAAATGTTAATAACTATTTAAATTATGATCTCCACAGGCTAAGCATTAGATCAGGAGGGTATCTTATCCAGAAAAGTCTTACTTCCAATTTTAATACATTTTCATTATTAAAAAATTGATTTGAGAATAAATATCTCTTAACTATAAACAAGGGGTCTCTCAACTAACTTACTACACTAGAAAATATGTATATTTCAAATTAAAATGGACAGAATTTTAAAACTCTGTGATTAGCATTTTCTTCCATAAAGAGAGACAAAATAGTGGCATCAAGTTCCTGTTTAGAAGTCTCAGCCACATCTACTCTGCAAACACTTAGCTGAAACATTTCATTCAGATGCAGACTATAACTTGATGGATTCATTCGCAAATCCAGTGAAGTGGTTAAGGGAGACCACAAAATTAGAATCCCGTAATGGGTGCAGTTTTTTATTTTAAAACTCAGCATAATCATAGTCCATCTTAATGAAAATGTATACTGTGGAAATCCAATATTACTTAAGTAAACACCAGTGGAATAGTAATAATTAGAGCTATTACCATTTACTCAGCATCTATCACATGCCAGGCATTGTGAGATGGCCTTTAAATACTCAATTTCAATCTTCACAACAACCAAAAATTTGTATTTGTCCAAGGTCATAACGCTCATAAGTGGGATCTGAACCCAGATCCCTTTTACTACAGAGCTTGATCATTTCCCTCTCTGCTGCACAGCTTTCTCCTAGGCAAAACTCCCAAAACTCAAGCGAGGCTTGGATCTGCTCCTGTTGCTTTGGCCTCCCACCAGATGATGCAATCATTAGGCTAGGCTTGATCCCAAAGGAACCGGGGAGGTTATAATTTACCAAACCCACAAAGAGATTTAAATGGGCAAATCAGTCCATAGCCAGATTAGTTGAGGTAACTACAAAGCTGGAGTGAAGAGTACCCATTATAAAAATCAAATAATAATTTTTAAAAACACAATAATATTTATTAAATGCTTGTTCTGTGCCCAGGATTGTTTTTAGGAACTAAAGAACAGACTGGATGAAAGATTTGTATTAAAATTTTCAGCACAGGGGCGCCTGGGTGGCTCAGTCGTTAGGCGTCTGCCTTGCGCTCAGGTCATGATCCCAGGGTCCTGGGATTGAGCCCCGCAACAGGCTCCCTGCTAGGTGGGAAGCCTGCTACTCCCTCTGCTTGTGTTTCCTCTCCAGCTGTCTCTCTCCGTCAAAAAATAAATTTAAAAAAAAAAAAGTTTAAAAAAAACTTTTTTTCAGCAGAGAGGAAAAATGTAAATAACATTAATTCACTGTTGTACCAAGACAAAAGCTACCTGTGTGTACAGAACAGAACATAGCAGCCCTCAAATATTAACTGAGTCAACTCATATCAGGAAAATTAATTACTCCAAGTATCTTTTCTGCTTATCTCATGTATATGCATTTCTCTAGCAGGGGAATTGCTGGGCTTCAGAGTCAGCATATTTTTGACTTTCTAGATAATTCCAAACTGGTTTCCAAAGTAGTCATACCAAATTATATTCCTATCAGCCAGGTATGAATGTTCCTATTGCTCAACAGCATCAGGATTCGGTATTGCCAACTGTAATTTAGGTATGCAGTAATATGGCACTATGGTTGCAATTTGCATTTCCTTGATTAACAAAGACTTTATTATGTTTTATTATGCATTTATTAGACATTTGGATATCTCCTTTTCTGAAGTGCCTGTTCAAGACTTCCACCCATTATTCTATTAGTGCAGGTAACATCTTATTTAAGGTAAGATTCTAAATCCAAGACCTATACTGAGGTCATGAATATATTCTCCTATATTAACTTCTAAAAGTTTTATTGTTTTGTCTTTCATTTGCCATGCCTCCTGGGTCATAAATTAAGTGTCTGAATATGTGTGAATCTATTTCTGTACTTCTCATAGTGTTCTACTGATCAATTAGTCTATCCTGGTGCCAATACCACACTGTCTTAATTATGACAGCTCTTCTTGATCTCCAGTAGAGATGTTTTTCCAATTTATTTTTTCCTTTTCAAGAGTCTCTTGCCTTTTCTTGGTCATTAACAAAACATTTAGTATCAGCTTGTCTATTTTTTTAAATTTGCTGGGATTACATTAAATCTTAAGTCTGTTTCCAAAGAATTAAGACCTTGCAATATATATATTCCAATCCTTGAACCAGTGTATCATCTTCATTTATTTAGGTTTCACTTGAAGTCATTCAATAAAGTCATAGAATTTTTTCTGTAAAGGTCTTTTATACATATTTTGTTAGATTTAAAATATATATCCAATAGTTTTTCTTTTTTTTTAAAGATTTTATTTATTTATTTGAGAGAGAGAGAATGAGAGATAGAGAGCACAAGAGGGAAGAGGGTCAGAGGGAGAAGCAGACTCCCCGCTGAGCAGGAAGCCCGATGCGGGACTCGATCCCGGGACTCCAGGATCATGACCTGAGCCGAAGGCAGTCGCTTAACAAACTGAGCCACCCAGTCGCCCTCCAATAGTTTTTTTTCAAAGATTTTATTTTTAGGCAATCTCTACACCCAATGTGGTACTTGAACCCACAACCCCAAGATCAAGTCACATGCTCTACCAACTGAACCAGGCAGGTGTCCCATATCTCCTGTAAGTGGTGAAAAACCATGGATCTGGGGCTCCTGGGTGGCTCAGTTGGTTAAGTGACTGCCTTCAGCTCAGGTCATAATCCTGGAGTCCCTGGATTGAGTCCTGCATCAGGCTCCCTGCTCGGCAGGGAGTCTGCTCTCCCTCTGACCCTCCCCCATCTCATGTGCTCTCTCTCTCATTCTCTCTCTCTCAAATAAATAAAATCTTTAAAAGAAAAAAAGAAAAACCATGGATCTGAAAAAAAGATGATTGTTTCTAAATTTTATTTTATTTTATATTTTATTTATTTATTTGACAGAGAGAGACACAGTGAGAGAGGAAACACAAGCAGGGTGAGTGGGAGAGAGAAGCAGGCTTTCCGTGGAGCAGGGAGCCCGAT